TTTTAAAAATGTTCGATTTATATTTGCATTTAAAAAATGATTCGCTAAACATGTTTGTGAGTTTTTTCCGACTCTGATTTTATGTTTTATGTGTGATTTTAGATCAGTTGTGTTAACGCGGGATGGCAAAATGAAAAATTGATGAGAGGTTGTGCTAAAACATTATAGCAAACAAGGCAAGATAAATCGTTTTTTAAGGTGAAATAAATATAAAAGTAAGATCAAAAGTATTAAAAAACGGCAAATTATGCCCTGGGCCGCAGACGGTTGATGGTTAACCTCGTGTCATCACATCATGTGATCTCTTGACTGAAATTTGGTCAGTTTTCAGTGTCTTTTCCTTCGTCAAAGGGGACCAGGTAGCACACCATCCCATGGCCCAACAAATAACCCATCAAACAGCTGTTGTTTAGTTTTTTCATTTATCTTCAGAGCCTTTAGTTGTTCTGCCCCGAGACCTCACACTGTCTCACCACTTTTAAATCACGTCTCAAAACTCATCTATTTAGAATTACATACACCTGATCTGTCTTAGTCCATTTTTACCTGCTCAGTTTTTATACTTGCCTTTATACTTTTATGACTGTTTATGTCTAAATTGTATTTACCATCTTTATTATATATACATTTTTTTTATGTTTTTTATGCTATTGTTCATGTGTCATTGTAAGGTGACCTGAAAGGTGCCTATAAATAAAATGTATTATTATTATTATTATTATTATTATTATTATCTCCAAAGTAATGGCAAATCTCTATATTTTAGTTTTTTTTAAATAAATAAATAAAATTTTTAAAAAGAAACTCAATCAGGTGTCCATAAGGTTAACCTCATGGCTTCATGATTATCTACTGCTAATTTCTACCAAAGTTCCAAAAACAGTGAAAAACAATATTTTGTACAACTGTAATAAACTGTGGTTGATGACTACATATAATCATCAGTCATCAAATGATGACTTTGATTTATCCTGTTCCAATATCTTCAGAAGTTACATCATATTTGTCAGCATTACAAAACTTGCAATAAACTAAAATGATACTTTAGATTATTCTTAAACTTTGCTTAAGTTTTGTGTTATCACTATATGGTATTTTTCTTTGTTTCCACTTCTGTGAAAGGATTCTCTTCTTTATATCATCATCTGTAATGTTGTAAAGGGAAATGTGCGGTCAGTCAAGTTTTTGTCCACTTGTAAATACTAACTGTGTTTATTACACAAACAAGAAGTCAGGCTCTGGAAGACATCCCTGGCACAAAAGCCAAGGTTATTGTATTGGTTGTATTAGTGTCACTCCAACAATGTTTTTTCAAACAGCAGCACTTCCTTCAATCTTTGCTGATGTGTAAATTCCATGTTTATGTCTGGATTTTATACAATTTTCGATTGTACAGCAGTACATGTGTTCTGGAGCTTCAACATGTTAGAGAAAAACACACACACTGTCATTTAGTGACATGAAAATGAAAAACCACCACTACCCTCTTACTCTAGTGCCACACGTGTTATGATATGTATATATGTGTTTCAGTTTGTTAGTCATCCAAGAGCTGCTCCTCCCATGTGGAGGTAGGAATCGCACTATATGGGTCCATTATGACCTTGGCACAGCGGATGATCATGGCCATCAGCAGCAGGCAGAGGAAGGCGACACAGGCTAACGTCAGGCCCTGGTCCACATCCACAAAGGCTGGCTCAGCAGTGCCTTCCATCTCCATGACTGCTGTTCACTGCTGCTGTCCTCAGACACGCCCACACACCATGCTACCATCCTGAGGACCTGACTGGAAGCACAACAAAGAGACATGGTGAGTGTTATACTATAGATGTGTGGAGGCTCCTCAGACCCTGCTCATAATCTCTTCAAACTGCCGCCATCAGGCAAAAGATGCGGACGCGTCAGAACAAAGACTAATAGACTAAGAAGCAGTTTCTACTCTGACACGTGTGTTTTATCATAAATTATTCTGCACAAGTCAAGTTTATTATAGTTTATTATTTGATTTTATTTAAAAACTGAACAAATAATAAAGAAAAGAAAAATGTCAAGTTTATTTATAGTTTATTATTTTATTTATAGCATATTTAAAGGACATGTTGTTGTGTTTCAGAGCTGCAAAGGTAAAAGTCGAATTACCTGTAGCAGCGAGTCTGGTACGTTGAACTATGAACACCTACTCATCAGCTGATCTAAGTATTTAATAAGGGGCATGTCAAGGTTCGCAGGGCAAGCCGTGTGGAGTTATTAAGAAGGGCCCAAAGTGCAGGCACTGGCTGATGATGCAAGTAAGCTTTATTAACAGGAGGTGAAAACAAACAACAGCGAGGATGGCGAGGACAGAACTAAGCCAAAATCTGAACTGGGAAAACTAGAGAACAAACCTGAAACCATAACATGCAAGAACACGGGATGATGAACAGAGATACGAAGAGAGACACCAGGAAACACCACAACCACGCACTGACACACGGGGGGAAACAAGTGCTGTGTCCCAGTTCGGGGTATGCACGCTTGAAGTACGCATTTTAAGTGCGGTTACGTCACCGCCACGCGACGACGGCTGTCCCAATTCGAAGTGTACTTGAAATGCATACTCCAAATGCGCCGTCGATTTCCCCAAATA